GTGGTAAAATGTACTCTGTGCGGTGCAGAGCAGTGGTAAAATGTACTCTGTGCGGTGCAGAACAGTGGTAAAATGTACTCTGTGCGGTGCAGAGCAGTGGTAAAATGTACTACAGTCTGCTTATCTGGGTCATTTAATGCGGTTTGTTCAAAACTCCTTAAAGGAAATCTTTAACTAATTAATGTTTGAAGTGTTTTCTTCTACGTCATCAAAATAGAACCGTGGGTACTTGGTGGTGACGACGGCACAAGTTTTGGTTCATAGAGTTCGTGCTGTGGCATCATGGAGACCATTTGTTCCACCATGATGGACATACAGATGCTGCGGTTTGCGTACAGATGTGAGCATTTAGCAAAGCGTTGGTAAACAGCTGGTTGTGTTGATACTAACTGAAAAGATCCAGGACGAGACCCAAGTACCACCCTGGAGTCTGAATTCTGAGTTTTGAGCCCAAACGGAGTCGCCGGTGCACAAACCTCCAGGCGTGGCTCGTCCTGAAACCTCATCACAGGTTTGGACCCACATTCAGGACTGAGGCCTGTTCAGTTGGTGGCCCAGCCCCAGACCAGAGTCCGGTTTAGGCAGAAGACACCAAAACGACGAGGGCGCTCCTCACACAGGACCACCATCAACAGCACAACTCGTTTTTCTTTTGTCTTCTCTCGAGCTCCACCCGTGAAGACCTCACTGAACGACTGTCTGCAGAACCAGACCCAGTTCCCTCTTGCTGCCACTCATGGACCTCCGTTGAGGGTCGTACATTTGGAAAGAGGACCGTTTGTTCCGCTCATCGAGCACGAGACCCATTTGACTCATTTTAGGGGGAATTGATCCATTCTTTCACAACGACAAATAAACATGGATCACATGATTTTATTTTTTACTCAAGGCTCTAAAACTCGTGATCGCGCTGGTTCTGGGAAGTTCCCAACCTCACAACCTGGTTGGAGAGCTGCTTCCTTAAAGTCCATGAAACCCTGAAGGTCACTCTGAGTTGAGGTGGAGCAGATTTGACGGGTGTGACTTGAAGACCAGGAAATGAAACAAGTCAACGTTTAGTTCACGAGCAGCAGGTTCAGCCGGAGGACGAAAGGTGCGGAGGTCAGGAACCTGGGCTGGTATCGGTTGTTCCACCCAGATGTGGTTTGATGTGTTTACTGGTGGTTGGACTTTTAACTTCTCTGAGGTCAACGTTGTTTCGGGAGTCGACTTCACCTTTTGTCCTTTTCAGATTAGTCCAATAATCTGAGGCGACAAAAATAAAATGTTGCACCCCGACAAGAAAACTAAACGTAGTTCTGACTGCAGGTGGTCCGTTTTACAAATAAAGTGGACCTGAAAGGAGCTTCAGTACCAACGCTGGTCCAAGCCGCCTCTGTCCGGTACCAACGCTGGTCCAAGCAGCCTCTGCAACGTTCACGTCTTCACGTCTCGGACTCCACAAGAAATGATCCTTTCAGCTGCGGTCTCTGAATCCGAGTGTTGGTCACCAGCGAGCTGAACCGCCGGGTTTTCTGTGGCCAGTTTCCGAAATCCAAGGTCCATCTTCACGTGCACGGCTTGTCAAGTGCACGGCTTGTCAAGCTCTAGGTTAGGCAGCGTGCACAGCGTTTCATTGCCCACCTGCACTCCATTGTTGCGTGCAGCTGTTGAGTTTTTGATGCAGCAGATCTTCTGCATGGTGACATCTGACCTTAGTGTTGGACACGGTGCAGACGTGTTGCTGGTTTCTACAGAGACCAGACCAGACCGACTGGTTTCCAGACCATGAGAGAAATGTACAATGGGCTGCTTGGCGTCGTCGTGCTCATGAGAACTGCTGGCATGTTGACGATCCTCGATCTGCGGTGCGGTTAGCGACTCGTTTCATCCCTCCTCCCCGCGCTGCTTGTTTGTGTGTGTGGTTAATGCAGACTGGTGTGAAACTGGTGTGAAACTGGTGACCTGCTCGTCAACCGTGAGCAACCTTTGGGCTGAGCAGCTGCTGGCAGCGTTCGACTTTCACAGAAACATCTGGACGTTAGGATCATTAAAACACAAAAAGCATCTTAATTCTGTGAAATGACCGAGAATCTGCTGTGGAAGAAGAAGTTAAACATATTTGACAAGAACCTTCGCCTGAGGATGTTGGTGCACAGCTAAAGGTCTTAAAGAGCTTTGAAATTGAAACTAGATGAACTGCCAGATAAGGATTTTATTTAAAACCAACAGTAGCAGATAAATAAATGATTGAACATCTACAAATACTTTGTAAACTCCACGTTTGTTCAATTCAGGGAACATTTTTGGCATCAATTGTCTTGAAATGAGTAAAATTACATTTATAAATTACATTTATCAGTTTAACAATAAAGCAGACCTGTTCACGTCCTAGTGACGCCGAGAGCATCACTTCAGCCGTTCACGCATAGATTTGTGTCAATTGTAAAATACTTTGTGTTAAATGGCTTTTTAAGAAGTTAAGACATTTAAATGTTCAATATGGACGCGACAAAGATTCAAAATTAACTCGAATCATTTCTGCAGCACAGAGTAGCTGTCCATATTTTTATTATTATTAAGTTTGTAATTATTTTTAACACACACTCACTGTCATATTTATTATAAATAAGACCAAAGATCCTAAGTTTGTGCGTCTCCACATCCTCCCGTGTTTCTGTTTAAATCATATTTTTCTAAAATGCTCAGTTTATTTTTGGTTCTGCTGCTCAGCTCTTCAGAACCGCAGTCGATGTATAAAAATATTCCTCTGAGAAACAAGATCTAGCAAACGATCGAACGTCTTTGAAATATTTGTGAGATCGACAGTCAAATAATGACATAGATGATTTTATTTATTTATTTAAAGTTCACTGAATGCATTTAAAATTAGCGATAGATCACATTTAAAAACACAATAAAAGCACAAACTATAAATAAAAAAATAAAATAAAATCCACCCCGAGGCCCAAACCAGAACCGGTTTGTTTTGGCAACTAAACCGGACAATATGTTGCTGCAACAAAACGTTCAGTTCCTGAGAAGCAACTGAGAAGTATAAATACACACATGCATGCATACTTTTAAGTATTTATACACTGGTGAAGGTTAAAATTACATCTTTATTTTGTTGCTGATGAGCTTTAAAATGTTTTTAATAAAAGTTGATCTGAATCTTGATTTGCATTCTGGTCTCATGTTTTGTAACCAGATAAAAAGCAGAAATGCAACTTAATTTTAGAACTCTCAGATTTATCTGCGCGTTAATATTGAAAACTAAATTAAACATCTTCAGGTAATATTTGACTCAAATATGTTGGTCGACATGACAAAACCAAAAACTGATCATTAAACAGTTGACTAAACGTTACAACACATGGATATTAATAATAATACTAACGACAACAATAACAACCATAACAATATTATTATTATTAATCATTATTATTGTTTTATATGGTATAAACACACTATAAAAAAATATATACATTTCAAAGCATTTACTAATTTGAATTATATGTTTAAAGGTTTCAGTAAAATTTACAATTTGATTCTTTTAATGTTTAGATTTTTTTTCTCAGTGGATTTTATTTAAACCTTCAGCTTTTGAATTTTTGTTGTTCAGATTCTTGTTCTTCTCCTCGTGTATTTCTACAGGAACTCTTCAGAGCAGAAAGACGGGCTGCGCTCGTTCCCTCAGAGCAGCGAGGCTTTTATTCAAATATTAAAATGCACGTTTTCATGTACAAGTCACCGATAAAGACAGTAAACTACTCATCCCTGTCGTGGTGCGTTCAGGTGCTCAACAGTTGAGCATCTGCCTTTAAATTAAACCTGACGACATTATTCTGAGCAGCTTTTCTTCAGAGGTGAAGGTTTTTGTCACGTTCGGTGTGAAAACGAGCAGAAGCTGCATTTTGTCTGTGGCACGATGAAAGAGAAGGTGTGAAACTGGAGAACAGTTTCAGGTCAGCGGTGAATCGTTCCACGCGGCTCCATGTGAGGAAATCATCTGCTCTGGGTTTTACACCGGCCGCTAAACAAAGCTTCTGACACACACACACACACACACACACACACACACACACACACACTCTGAGTCATCCTCCGTACTTTGAGCAGATCACATGAGATGGTACAAAATGTTATTTTTTAAACATTTAACTGTTTATCTTAATAAACATCATGAGCACAGAAATGATGCAGTACTCTGTCACAAGATCAATAAAATACTGTGTAATATTCAAACTGTAAAGTACAGAGAAGTAAAGCTGAGAAGATACAACTAGTGTTCAGTAGAAAGTTTCAGGTCCTTCCAGCCTCCATCAGAAGATCTCAGTTTAAAACCGTGACGTTAAGGCGGCGGGCGACGTGCATTCATGACAGGACGGCGTGTTTAATCCGTTTATAATAAAAGAACTGAAGCCTCAGCATCTTCAACAAGCGTCCTGTAGACAAAAATAACCGTGGTAAAAATAAACATTGAGCATGTTGAACACGACGAAGGTTTTTGTTTTTACTCCAAACACTTTTTATTTTCAACTCTGTTCTGTTCCAGGTTCAAAACTAGATAAAAATAAAACATTTTACTAAAATAAAACATTTTACTAAAATAAAACATTTTACTAAAATAAAAACGGATGCAGGACTACGTTGAGCCTCGCGACATCGTCCCCAGTCGGAGACATTTTTCCGATGTAACGTTACCCGAGTTACAGGCCGTCATTTCTGACGTCACTGAGAAGCTAACAGCTGTAGCACTTGGGTGAGTTTTACCACGAACATCTGGACGTCGTGTTAGCCCGTTAGCATGAATAGTCTTACGACACAACTGACAAAAACTTTGACGTTAAAAAGGCCGTCCTTCATGCACAGGAGCCCACACTGACCGAGACCATACAGAATAATGTCCTAATTCCACAGCAGAGAAAGCTACGTCGTCTCTGTAAATAAATAAATAAATAAATAAATAATCGGTATTGGTATCGGTTATCAGCCAATTAATTTTTAACATATCGGATAAAAATCCAGTATCCCTAGTTTTTATAGCTGAATAAAACCTGGGCACGCAGGAAGTTGATGTTTTGAGCACGTTCGACTCCTGAACTGAAACATGAGCTGCAAACACAACGCAGCGGCCGACAGCTTCCTGGAACAACTTCCTTCGAGCCGCACCGGTTTCCTGAATCCAGACCCCCCCGCACCCGCAGAACACTTTCAGACGCCATCAGCAGAGGAAGCTGCTCCATTCTCCTTCAGCAACACCAGAACAATCCGAGGCGGTCCTATGACTCACCACTGGAAGGAAGCAGATCGTGTCTGTTAGCAAAATATCTCATGCACCACCTGATTGATGGATGTGCATTCATCCAAGGAAAAACAAGCCACGTTCATGTCAGACATGTTGGAGGAAACACCAGAACTTCCTTCTTCATCACAGACCACCCGGACCACGGAGCAGTTATCTGCTGTGGATTAACCACGGGGGTCAGGGACCTTTAATCTGGAGGGGATTCTTGGAAATCCCCTCCTTTACAGTCTGAGCAGCGTAGCTCATACACACCAACACTGTGGAGGTCTTCTTCTGCAGCACATCCACCGGGACCAGCAGAACCTAAATGTTCTGCTGCAACAGCTCCACGTGGTTTTCCACGGGTGCACTTTGTTTTGAGATCTGCTTGAATCCTGGTCTCTGATGACCGCTTGGTTTGAATGTTTAATGAAAGATCAGC